TAGTCCAGGGTTAGTCCAATGTTTCATCTAGCATTAGTCCAGGGTTATTTCCCTGCCTGGATCAATACAAACTGGGGTGGATTAGAGTTCACATAGAAATGGAGGGCTGGTGGGCACAAACCATAGCGTCAAAAGGCGAGCAAAGTGTACATACTGCTTTCATAGAGAGCGGGTTTTACAGTGAGCAGATCTGCTGACGTGTGACTGTCACTGGCTGCAGTTGACAATGGGACAGAGTGCATTGTGGGAAATAAGATTAGCTGCAGTGTGTTCTGGTGTGTTAATGTCACTAACTTGAACATAGTGGGGTCAGTAAGTGACAAAATAATAAAACAAGGCTATTAAATAGAAGAAAAACCAATTAACATGCAAGAAAAGCAAGAGTTCTTTCTGTTAACACATTGTTAACTAAAACTAAAACCATAATTTTTTTTATCATTACTTCAAATAAAATTGAATTTATTTCAGCTAGTTGCCAAGACAACATTTATCATTTTCATTTCATTTAAGCGTATACGTTGAACTAAAATAACAAAAAATAAATAGACCAAAAAATATGATCTAAATAGACAAAAAATAAATAAATCTTAACCAAACTTTGACGCTCAGAGAACGCTCAAACAAACAGGAACGAGAGCGTTTGAAAGCTGCGTCTATCAGCGGTTACCGAATATACCGGGTACTCGGTACTTTCAGGTAGCCTATACTGCGGAAATGCTGGTACCGTCAACTTCTTTTAGTACCGACTGGAACCGGTATACAACCCTATAGTATTCATTTACTAAAGGTACATGTACGCTCAAAACCTTTTTCCTCAATTAATTACTGACAAAATGACTAACCAAAAGAAATTCAATTAATATATTAAAAACATACAAATGTTTTTGTAAAGAAAGATGATCTCACACCGGTAACAATCAGAAGCATCACTGCTGGTCACCTATAGCTCAAGCTGAGCTGGACAGCTGTCCCTCGGTCAGATAGCTGTCAGTCAGACGTCCATCCAACCCAACACAGCTGTTACAAGCAGAGACTACCAATGTCATCGGGTCACTACAGCTGTGCCATGTGTGCCACCTTCCTGCAAAGCTGCACTTGACAGACTGATCCAAAAGCATCAATAGTGAGCTGTGTTGCTTGTCAATGTATCGCCATCGCTTCTTCTTGAAATTATAGAATTCTTTAAAAAAAATGTTTTTATTAATTATAGAATTTATAGAAATTATAGAATTACAGAAATTTAAGAAATTATAGAATTCTTTTTTAAATTAAAAAAATAAGATAAAAAATACTACAAAATATTTTAATTTTAAGATTAAGATAATAGAACATTTTGATTACAATTGATTAAAAAAATAAAAATTGCAATTATTTTTTATATGAAAATAACATTAAATTAATAAAATCTCAAATCTAAATGTTTTTATATAAGACAAAAGGTTTAGATTAAAATGAATTAAAAATTGCTTATACAAGATAAAAAATAATTAATGAATTGATTTGTTAAATAAGATAATAAAAAAAAATGAAATGTGTGTGTGTGTGTGTATATAATATATATATATATATACATATACATACACACACACATTTAACTTGACATATTACATGTTACAAGTCAGCCCATTTGAACTTAAGACTTTAAATTAATTAACCAAAACATAAAAGATAAAATGTAATCAAAGTTGACCTCATTCCTAATTAAGAAATTGCTGGTTTAAATGAACACATTATTCTAAATAAGAAAATTGTTCATATAATCCATATAAAAAAATTCTCTATTTCTGAAACAAGCTTTTGTCTGATATAACCATGGGAAAAATAATATTAATATTTAATAATATAGCCTAACATTTAACTTTTGCATGATTGATGAAAGAATTCAATGAAAACCCAATGGGAAAAAATCAAATATCATTAGGTTTTACTCGGATATCCATCATATTACAGAACTTAAATGTGATGCAAATTAAGATAATATGAGCGGTAACATCAAACATGGCTGGAATAAAAATCAATAGAGGAATATTTTGAAAAAAATGACTGTAATTTGACAGCCTACAGATTACTTGAAACTGCAAATGAGAGTGATGGAGGAAGAAAAGAAAAAAAAGCAAAGCGAGGAAAAATGGATGACAAATGTCATATACAGTGGTAACCTTGGTTTCCCCACGGCAAAACAGAAAAAGAGAGAGAGACCGACCTAGATTGATGGGTCATCCACAGTTCACAGACTCTTTTCAGCCCCAGAATGGAATCAGACAAGAATGAAATGGAGAACGAAAGGATTTCTGATACGATGACAAACAAAAAGGAGGAGAGTACTGGAGTGGATAGTTATCGAGAATAGAGATCAGTTATTGAGCAGGGAAATGTGCAGGAATAACAGGAGGGCGTGTCTTACCGTTGTAGGAGAGGCGGGGCTTGCTCAGACACATGATGAAGTGAACCTCCATCTCATTGGATGCCACTGATTTGGAGCAGACAGGACACTTAAATCCTGGAGAGGAAAGAGGAAACGGCATCGTCAGAACTCTTGAACCGTCAAGAATCAGCAGTGACAGTGATGCAGCAGTCTGATGACTGCCAATGCCATAATCCTGCGCAACATGTTGTGTTCCTATCGCCCTGCTGCAAATGCATTAGCTCGGCTGTTAGTCACTTTGTTGACACAAAGCTTTTTTAACTTAAACGTACAATTTACAAACACATACATCAATGTCACTTGTTCACCAATGTCATTAAGACATCGGCGGCTACAAAAGGCTCATGTTAGGCTGGTATCGGCAAACAAACATTCAGTTTTCTTAGCCTGGGATTAGTTTCACATACCTTACCTGCATCCTAAGAGTTTTAGACTAGCATACATCAGAGCAGTGCCATCATATACCACAGGTCAAAGGTTTGTGGGTTGGTAATTAATATATAAAATATGTTTTTTTTTGCTAGAAGACCCTTATGCTCACACCAAGGATGCATTTATTTAATAAACAATACATTAAACCTGTAAAATTATGAATTATGATGCAAAGCTGAATTTTCAGCATCATTACTCAAGTCTTCAGTTTCACATGATCCTTCAGAAATCATTGATTTGCTGCTTAAGAAACATTTCTTATTATTATCAATGTTGAAAACAGAATATTTTTGTGAAAACCATTTTTTTTCTCTCATAAGGAGGAAATTCGAAAGAAAAGTACTTTATCTGAGCATCACATGATGGAAGGTCATTTATAAAGGTACTATACGGTATTGCACAATTAAATATTCAACAGCGACCAATGGCGATAAATTCATAAATAATGTCTGATATGATACAGATATTTATATTATATTTAAAAATATTTACAAATATATGTTTTGTATTGCAATGTCCATACAATTTAGAGTAATATAACATGCTTTAATAGTATCAAATAATCCAGAAAACAGTAGCAAAAAGCATGGATCATTTTTGTTCTCTATACAGATCAACAGTAAAAATGGTCACGAAATGTAACTATTTAGACATAGTCGGAAGCCCTGACTAGTCCATTACCATTATGCGATAAAGCGCAACACTAGCATCAAATCAACAACCAAAGGGAGCATCCGCTAACATCCTGTCCCTCTGACATCAACCGAAGGCCCAGAGGGGAAGATAGAAAGAGAGAGCCATTCACACATTGAATCTCATCCCACTGAGCCGGGCTGTGTCCTTCATAAACACAGACGCAGCGGCAGGTCATTGAGGCTCTGTTTGGCACCGTACATCCCACCGCGATGCCCAAAGTCCTTGTTTTGAACAGACAGCAAAGCCTACAGGCCTTTTCGCAAGATTCGTGTCAACGTTTCCCAATGCATCGAACTCTAGGGTGAGAAGTGGCAAGCAAAGGTGTTGTTCCTTACCAGACTTTGATGAATGAATTCACGTTCACCAACTATTTGAAAACTTGCCACGTCAGCATGGCTTATAAAAAGCAGGCCGGTTGAGTTTGGGGGCTTTTGTTGGAGATGGTGCAGGTGTGGTTTTGAAACTGTACTGTACATGAGGGCCTGACCTTGCAGAAAAGGCTCAAAACTGTACAACTCCCTGGTGGATACTACAAGTTGCTTGCAGTATTCTCAAGTTTAGGAAAGAGTACTGAAGAGGAAGCCGTTTCACAGCCGAAGTTGTAAACATGAGGGAAAAATCTGATTGGATTTCCGCCGAGAGAATCTCTCTTTGTTCAAGATGTGGAGCCTTGGTTTGAGAGGGGCATTGTAATTCTAAATCTAATTAATGGAAGTTTTACGCCATTTCAGTGCTTATGTTGATAATTATTTAGGGCGAAGACAGGTTGTTTGCCCTGTGGGAGTAGCCTAAAACTTAAGCTGGATAAGATCTCTGGTTAACTTTAGAATTTTGCCGATATTTCTGTTTTAAATGAGGTAGAAAAAAGCAATAGCATTACAGAAAAATTGTTCATCCAATTAGGAAAATTCTGTCTTTAATTATTCAAGCCTGTTTTGATGAAAAGACTTGGTCTTGGAAAAATAGTCTTGGAATCATCAGTAGGGATGTACTGAAAAGCACAAATCAATAAGTAATGCTTTGCATTATATGCCAAGCATGTTTATGAAGAAAATGGAGTGACATAACAGTATGATTTCCAGTTTTGGTGCAAATGTTCTTATTGTGAAGAAAAAAATTGTTAATGTAAAATTGTAAAGAAAATGTATTTTAAAAATATAAATATAAATTAAAAGTACACTACCATTCAAAAGTTTGAAATTCAAGAAATTCATATTTTTATTTATCAAGGAAGCATTAAATTGATCAAAAGTGAGAGTGAAGACATTTATAATGATAAAAATGATTTCTATTTGAAATAAATGCTGTTCTTTTGCACTTTATATTCATCAAAAATCCTGAAAAAATGTATCAAGTTTCCACAAAAATATTAAACAGCACAACGGTTTTCCACATTGTTAATAATAATATTTTGAACATGAGACTTTTTTTTAAAAACATTAAAAAATCTTACAGACCCCAAACTTTTGAACGGTAGTGTACATATGTAAATAAAAAATTGCTAAAAATGTGGTATAGGGCCAGTGAAAATGTTGCCCGGTCAAGCAAAAATTGGATTTATATCCTGATGGGAAAAGTTTCTTCAAAAGTGTCTACTCTTGTGTTAAACAGGAAGAAAAAACAGCAAATGAGTTTGGAACAACATAAGGGTGAGTAAGAGATGAAAAAAATTATTTTGGGTGAACTTCAGTAAAAGAAAGCAGGTGCAGACAGTCTAATGAACAAAAGCAGCCATGCCAGAAAAAAGAGTGAGACAGAATAAGAATCCAACCAGAGCCAAAATGCAAAGTCAGTAAAAACACGGCACAAAGTTAATGTAGGGCTGAAGACAGTCCCATCTGTCAATATAACCCAGGTTCGATACTCTCCACCCCTAACTCTAGAGCAGGGACGGTTCTAGGAGCTTAGCCCTAAGTGCGAATGTGTAGCAAGAGACCATTTCATAAGTGGTGTCTCTTTGTAAATTGGCACCACTATATTACTATAGTAAGTCAAAAGTACCCAACCAGTACTGGTAAGTCAATATAAACACTTTATAAATTATATAATATACCAGTCTTTCTGCAGTACAGTTCAAATTGAATATACGTTTAGGCTACCGTTTGACTAACAAATTGTCATTATATCGTACTACTTTTAACTAGATAAAGAACTAAAATATGATTTTTTCTTCTGGCCTGGTCGGTCGGATCACAGCAAAAGCTAATACTAGCTAATACTAATACTAGAATAATAATTTTGTGTGTCTGAGAGGCGGCTTTCCGTGTGCGCGCACAGCTATCACAGCACGCAAGTACCGAATTAAGTTACTTTCACGGCGTCTTGCGCTTAAAGGAACACTCCGACTTTTTGGGACTTTAGCCTATTCACCTTATCCCCCAGAGTTAGATAAGTCCATACATACCTTTTTAATCTCCGTGCGTGCTATAAGTCTGTTTGACGCACCCACCGCTAGCCTAGCTTAGCACAAAGACTGGATGTAAATGGTTGCAGCTAGCATACTAATCCAAATAAGTGACAAAATAACGGAAACATTTTCCTATTTACATGTTGTGATTTGTATAGTCACAGAGTGTACAAAAAACAAAGTCACATGAGACACAGACATATTTTAACCGTATAAATACTGGGAACTATATTCTCTGAAGGCGAAGCACTGCTACTTGGGCGGAGTGATAACCGCAGCACCTGTGACGAGCCGTGGTGAGGAGCAGAGAGCGCGTCTCAGGTGCTGCGGTTATCACTCCGCCCAAGTAGCAGTGCTTCGATACAAATCACAACATGTAAATAAGAAAATGTTTGCGTTATTTTGTCACTTATCTGGATTAGTATGCTAGCTGCAACCATTTACATCCAGTCTTTGTGCTAAGCTAGGCTAGCGGTGGGTGCGTCAAACAGACTTATAGCACGCACGGAGATGAAAAAGGTATGTATGGACTTATCTAACTCTGGGGGATAAGGTGAATAGGCTAAATACCCAAAAAGTCGGAGTGTTCCTTTAAATGGCTTAAAATCACTTGAATGTTTAAACTGATAAGACTTAAAAACACGTGAAATTTATAAACTTACTTGAAGCAATACTGGCCTGATCTTTCAAAAAGGTGATTATAGTTTTAGGGGCGATGAGACGACAGACAGGGGGGCTAAAGCCCCCTAAAAACGGTCTAGAACCGCCCCTGCTCTAGAGTGCGTCTTCACTTTAGCGCACACCCCAACCTCTAAATCCCACCCCAGGAACCCATGATGATGCCTGACCCAGTTTTCCCTAGGCTGCTATTTTCAGGCATTCCTTGGGGACAGATGGAGAGAGAGAGAAAGAGCGATGGAAAGAAGACTGAAGTGGAAAACGGAGGTGTGGAAATCTCAGACAGGGATGTCCCATCTCCTGAGGTGTGATTCACTGAAACAAAGCTACAAAAGGGGGGCGACGGGGTTCCATCTGTCAACACAGAGAACTCGAGTCGCACATGCGAGAGAGGCCAACTGTCTCTACTACCGCAAGTATCACATAGCGCCGAAAATATCAACAGCAGCTCACCGCAGCAACAAACAGACCAGACGTCTTTCATGCCAAACCGGCCATAATAACAATGAGCTTATGAGATCAAGTCATTAGACTTATTAAACTTATTTGTAAATTACCTCAGCTGACCTTGTCCAAGTGGATTGTTGGTTCATCTCCAAGAGCAACATAGGTTTTGCTTTTCATGTCAAAAATCTTTAAGTATAATCTCATCTTCATGTCATTCCGAACCCGAATGACTTTCTTTGATCTGTGGAACACGAAATGAGAAATTTAGAATTTTGTCCTGATTGCGGCTTTTCATGTAATTGCAACGAATGGGGACTGAAGCTTTCAAGCTTTGAAATGGACGAAAAAGCAAGTGGTCCATATGACTATTACTCAAGTTTTCAGAAGTAAAACAATTGACCAAAACTAAAAGTAA